CCACCCACAAACCCTGGTGTGAGGTGGCGCCATCTCAGCATGGACTATCGGCCACTGCGCAAGAAGACACCCTAAAACCTAAACCCTAAACCCTCAGAACCCTTTGAAAGTCACAGAGCTTCTCTGAACCCCGAGCTCTCCTACAATTCAGCTTCGGGGACAAAGCCCAGAAATATAGGGGCCTGATTCATAGCGGTTTAGGGTTTAGGGGACAGGGTTTAGGTAATAGGGTATAGGGTTTAGGGATTAGGTAATACGGTTCAGGGTATAGGGTATAGGTAACATGGTTTAAGGTATAGGGTTTAGGGTATAGGTTGTACACGGTTTAGGTAGTAGGGTTTAGGGTTTAGAGTATGTATGCATGTATGTATGTGTGTATGTATGTATGTATGTATGTATGTATGTATGTATGTATGTATGTATGTGTTCGTATGTATACATAGATGTACACACGCACACACGGCTACTTTACACTGCCCAATCATGTAAAAGTCCAAACTATCAGAACACTGCCAAGCCATATCAACCCGGAATCAACCCACCAGCCCTACACCAAAACCAACAACAGGTGTTGAGCATAGTTTTTGAGAGCCCAGTAGCAGCACACCCTAAACCCTAAACCCTAGACCTACAAGGGGACAGGGAAAGGATGGACCAACCCTGCCCAAACAGCGCCGGAGACCAGAATTATGCGGGGATATTCCTTAACATATAGGGCTTGGAGTTTACGGTTTGGGATGCTTAAGGCTTAGAGGGGATACTTGAGGATTCCTTCATTTTTGGCAATGAAGTGGTATCGGAGTCGATTCAAGGCGACAAGAACCCATTCAGGAGACTTTAGGATTCATGGCTTTGGGTTTAGGGTTTAGGGTTTAGGGTTAAGGGTTTAGGGTCCCTAAACGCTCCTACTCCAGGGCTTGGGCTTAAATTGCAGGGTTGGGGGTTTAGGGTAGAGGGTTTAGGGCTTGTAGGGGTTTAGGGCGTGTTCTGCGAGGCAGCGCTGTCCCGTAGGACCTTTGGGGATGTAGTGGGTTTATGGTTTGAGGCTGTAACCTTGGGAATCTACGACGCACCTCACATCTTCGCATGTATCTATTTTCCTGTTGCTGTCGCGAATGATGCTTCAAGTGCTAGTTGTCTTCTGCTGCCTTGTCTGCTTACTCGTCCGGTTTTCTGGAGAACCTACAGGTGAACAGCGGCTATGCTCCCCCGGCAAGCTTACATTTACAGGTTACCCAAGCCCTAAACCCATCTACCCATAGGCCCCAGAGTAGTTCCTTTTTAGGGTTACCTTATAGGATCCTCAATATGAACCCCAAAAAGGAACTACTTTAGGGCCTATGGGTAAGCCCACAGTGAGATGTCTTTCTCTGCGCCTCGTGGGTGCTCTCGGCACGATCCTCTGCAAAGTTCTCCTGGACTCTCCGTGTCAAACACCCCATTAGGGTTTAGGGTTTAGGGACCCCAACACCCAAACCCCCTAAACCCGAATAACAGCAAATAAATGCCTTACACCCTCTGAGCCCGAAACTCTTAAACCCCGAAGCCCTAAACCTAACATCGAGTTCAGTGCCCCTCAGTAAGATAGGAGACCTCAACACGAAAGACTGGTGTCTCCTTTCCCCCTTAGAAGAACCACGGCTTAGGGTTTAGAGGTTTAGGGTGCAAGAGTTTTGGGAACCCTAAACCCCTACGTAAACCGTAGAGGTAGCCAATAATGATTTCTAGACAAACGACCTAACAAAAAGAGTTCCAAGCGATCAGGAGCCTTTTAGATGTTACAAAAGCAATCGGGCCTGAACGCCCCAACAACCCAAAAACCAAGGCCCTTAAACCCTGAATCTCAACAAAAAACGGTGACTATGCCCGAAATCCCCTCAATCGCCAATCCCTAGATCCTAAACACAAAATCCCCGACCCCGAATCTCTCCGAGATCCAGGCAACTCGTCCAAAAAATCCCTAGAATTCTCAACCCAACCTTCAGGGTTTAGGGTTTAGGGTTGAGGATTTAGGAATAGAAAACCCTATATAGGCCCTTATGGGTCAATTCTGGCCCAGCAAAAACCTGCTTGAAAAAAGGCACAGGAAACGCTTTAGAACCCTGAAACTTCAATAACCCGATACACGCCTTGCTGAGGCCCTACACAACCATCATAAAAAAACGTATAGGGTCCATTAAACCCTAACCCCCCTCCCTAAACCCTAAACCCTAAACCCTGAACCCTAAACCCTAAACCCTGAACCCTAAACCCTAAACCCTAAACCCTAAACCCTAAACCCTAAACCTTAACCCCCTTAAAACCCTTCAGATCAAAGCTCCTGGGACACGAAGGTCACGATCTCTGTGCTTGGACCCAAGCGGCTGTTGCCTGCCCCCAAGCTTCCAAGTTCATAAAGTCTCGCTATGGGGGGGCTTAGGGTTGAGGGGTTTAGGGTTTAGGGGTTTAGGGGTTTAGGGTTTAGGGTTTAGGGGGTTTAGGGGGTTTAGGGTTTAGGGTTTAGGTTATAGGGTTGTAGGGTTTATGAGTTTAGGGTTTAGGGGTTCAGGGTTTAGGGGTTTAGGGTTTAAGGTTGCAACGACATGAACCTCTATGACACCCTGTAGTGCCAGTGCCAACGCCATGTCAAGGATACCACTCGAACCCTGAACCCGAAACCCCTACCAGCTGGACAAGGACTCCTTGAGACTTGTCACCAACATTTGAGAACCAGCCCTCATGAAGAAGCTCCATTGCAACCATTCGTGACTTGTGGTTTCGACCCCGTTTAGGGATCATAACCCTAAGCCCTTAAAGCCCCAAGCCTTTAGCGAAGGCAGCAGGAGTCTCTACTACGCGCAAACACAGGGCTTACCAAAGGAAGACTCTAAATTGCTCCTAGCATGCAGTCGAAAACCCGAAGCCTCAAAGCAAAACAAAAACCAACTCTTAAACCGGCAATCCAAAAATCACAACGCCTTCGACCCCAAACGATCCAATCAAAGCCCTTCGCAATCTTCAGCCGCCCGTGCCCAAAACGTAAACCTCAAATACCAGACCTCTAAACCATAACATGCTAAACCCTTCTATTAACCCTAAACTCTAAACCCTAAACCCTAAACCCTTAACCCTAAAGTCTAAACTCTAAACCCTAAACCCCTATAAACCCCTAAACCCAAACTCCTCAAGAGCCCTACAGACAACCCCAAAGCACAGACAAGGTGTCCGCGCTAAGCCTTGGCCAAAGCGTTTGATCAGCTTCCTTAGACCCGGTTTCTTAAAAAGGGCTGTTGAGGGTTAGGGTTTAGGGTTTAGGGTTTAGGGTTTAGGGTTTAGGGTTTAGGGTTTAGGGTATAAGTATGAAGGGATTCCGTTAAAGGTTCCTTTGAGGGTTTAGGCTTCAGGGTTGTATGCAAAATGTAATGCTTCTACTCGCGTACTGTAAGGGCTCTCTAGGTCTTTAGGGTTCGAGGGACTTCGTGAGCAAGGTCTTATGTAGTGCTGAGGTTGCGGTAGTTATGAGTATAGATACCTCGATTTGTAACCCTAGCTACCAAGTCGCATGATCCTATAATGCGCAAACTGAGATCCCTTTAAAGAACCATTGAAAGAACCCTTAACCTACCTTATCTCTAAGCACTACGTCCCATGATCTTGTAAGTAGGGGCACTAAACCCTGAACCCTAAACCAACTCTCTTGCTTTCAAGTTTTCGAGGCACGTAGAGGTTAGAGAGGTTTGGGCCTTGGGCTTTGGGGTCAGGGCCTCACGATTCTGGGCCTAAGGACTTATCGGCTCACCTGTTGTAGGGTACATCTGTATATCTGTATCTATATCTAAATCTATATCTACATCTACATCTATATATATATATATATATATTCTATTATTATTATTATTATTATTATATACATACATATGGAATATGCAACAAATCTATATGTGTAAGGCTCAAGTCAAAGTTCAAGTGGCTTCGAATACTGAGTCCGAGGTGCCGGGGCATGTCCGTGGGACTGAAAAAATCTGAACCCAGATCCCCAATCAACCCAGAGCTATGGGGTCAGGGCTTTCAACTCCCACCTCTTAGACTCTCAGACTTAGGCTACACACCCATATCCTCTAACCATAAAGCACTGGCTATTTTTTAGCAACAGAGAACGCCCTGAAACTTAAGCCCTCCCCCACTTATTCCTGAACCTCCAAGTCGGGTCCCCATAGTACGTTTAATACGGGTGCCGCAGCCCTCGCCAGTGGACTTCCACGTTCTAAAGAGGTAGCTGAGTTTAGGGTTTAGGGTTTAGGGTTTAGGGTTTAGGGTTTAGGGTTTAGAGTTGAGAGGACATGAAACCCCGAGCCCCTAAGCCTTAACCCCTTGGCCCAAAACCCCATTGACCCCAGCCCTATCCCCTAAACCCTAAACCCTAAACCCTTAACCCTTAAACCCTAAACCCTAAACCCGAAACCCTAACCCCAAACTGCCTTTAAACACTTTGGGGGTTGACAGTTGAGTCTTCGGGCATAGCGCACCAAAGACTCTTGGCTCCGGAATTGAACCCTCAGTATGGGATTAGGGCTCAGGGATTTAGGGTTTAGGGATTAGGGATGATTAGGGCTCAGGGATTACAGGCATTTGGTCTCAGGCTTGATCATTCGGTTTAGGGTTTCTGGTTTTCAGGATTTGGGGTTTAAGGTTTTGGGCTTCTACGCGGCCCAGTTTCTCGACGTCCCTCGGAATGTCAAAGTTGACGATGCACGTGGCGAAAGAGATGTCCTCAAACTCAAACAGGCTCCGAACCTCCAAACCGCAACCCTAAAACTCCTAAACACAGTTTCCGGAGACTCCAATACCACGCAATACAGGAACATGCCTTCAAACTGCAAAGGCTGCAAAAGCGCTTCGCAACAGGATGCGAGGTTAGCTTCATGATTCAAGGCTATTGCAGCAAAGGCGGCAACGGCCTTGGTCAGTTTACTGTAGGGGCCTTAATCATCAGAATAGTGCTTTAGGGTAATGATATTATACTATAAAACTTAGTATAGGTAATTTTTTAGGCCCCTATACGACGTCGCTTCGGAGACCCTGGAAGCACCTATAATCCCCGGTCGGGTCCTTGCGCTTCGCGCCCTTCTCGGTGCAGGCGACAACCTCGGAGGAGGAGGATGAGGAGGCGGACTTGGACCCTAAACCCCCAGAAAGGCTCTATAAGGGTTACTCCTAAGGGTTTTACCCTAAACCCAGAAACCCCCAGAAAAGCTCTAGACAGGCTACTCTTCAGGGTTTTACAGGGATTCTCAGAGAGCACAATACCGCGCACATCCCCCTCATTTACGGCACACATCTTGAACTATCGGAGCCTCAACCTGGACCTTCCAGAATTTACTACCTGTGTAGGGGTTTTTATGATTTTATAAGGAAACTATCATAAGGATCCCTAAAAACCGCAGGTTTAAAAAAAAGGTGCAGGATTATAGTACAATCTATAAGGTATGTTTCTCAGTTCGGGGTTACTGGGCTCTCTTGGCATTCCGTGAGCGACTTGTGGTATAGGGTTATAGGGTTAGGGTATACCCCCTAAACCCTATAAACCCTAAACCCTAAACCCTAAACCCTAAACCCCTACGTAGGGGATCTGTCTCGTGGTCGTGGAGAATGACAGCGGCTTTCACGCGCAGTGCTCCGACCTCCGGCCCGAAACCCCAGACCCCAAACCCGGAACCCTAAATCCCGAAAGGGTTTAGGGTTTTAGGGTTTAGGGTTTAGGGTTTAGGGTTTAGGGTTTGGGGTTTCCAAACCCCAAGCCCAAAACTGCAAGCCCGAAGCAACTCATCGACGTTACTTCGGATGCTGTCGGGGCTAGCAAGAGCGTCTCTGAGCCGGAGGACCAACTTCTCCGCCTTGCTGAAGGACGACCATTTCCTGGGGTGGCCAGGTTGGGTTTAGGAATTTAGGGTTTAGGCTTTAGGGACCATGTGGCAGTCTATATTAGGGGTCGTATCAACGGCTATATGAATTAGTATACTGTAGCAGCAACAGAAACTTCTTCAGCAAACAATGAAAATGTGTCAACTAGCAAACTGCCAGATACAGAAAATGCAAAAGCCTGCTTGACCAGCAGTTCTGTTGTGAGCATGTGTGTGACACGCAGGGTGTAGTACCTGCTTGACCAGCAGACATCTGCCACTTGACCGGTGGCCGCACAACCAACACGTGAGCACCACTTGACCAGTGCTGCCCACCGTGCACATGAAGACCCGCCTTGTACATGCACTCTAAGCCCTGGCAAACGATGATGGCGTTGATGTTGAATCCACCGGCCAGGGGTTTCAGGGCTCTTGGTTTACATACTTCAATGGGATTGTACGTGGACCTCGTAGGTCGTAGTCGTAGTAGTAATCGTAGTGTAGTAGTCGTCGTCGTCGTCCGTGGTGGTTCAGTTGTGGTACTGCATCCACAGAGGCCGACCTCTGTGGTGGTCGTGGTGGTGGTGGTGGTGGGCAAGTCTGCTTGGCACCGAAATCCTAAACCGGAACCCTAAACCCTAAACCCTAAACCCTAAACCCTAAACTTAGGGTTTAGGGTTTAGGGTTTAGGGTTTAGCACTGGTACCAACAGTTTCAGAGTCAGAAAGATTCGGAGTCAGATTCGGCAGCCCTTCTGATCTAGCTGTTACAGAGTGTTTAAGGTTTTAGCTACAAGTGGGTTTATAAGTACCTTATTTTGGGAAATCTGTCCCTACTTGTAGTTGCCACGCTGTAACTCTTTTTACCCGTAGCATCAAAATAGCCCCAAAACCTTACATGAAAGGGTCTTTGGGCCCAAAAGCCTCAACGTACGAGTCCTTTGACGGTAAGGGTTAAGAAGTCCCCGATCCTCAAACAGCTGAGAATCCAAAGCAACATTCCTGAGCCTGAAGCCCCTGCCCCTGAGCCCGCTTCCTGGATCTTTACTGCGGAGGATCCCGGGCCCTAAACCCTAAACCCTTAGTCATTAGTACTTAGTACCTGTAATATAAGTATACTTAAGACTGGGGGCTATAAGTTATAAGAATCATTAAGCACTAGAGATACCTTATGTATCACCCCAGTCACCAAGTCCCACGATCCTTCAGGTAATCTTAAACCTTAAACTTAAACCCGCAAGCAACGAAGCCCAAACTAGTTCTGCATCAGTTTTCAAAACTGGCCTACTGCTGCGACGAGTTCCTCATTCGGCTGATCACATCCCTGAAGCCCTAAACTCCAAACCCCCGTGATCCTAACCCCGACACACTGGTATAGGGGCCTCAATACTTAGAATAAGGTTTTGGGCTCCTTTATAGTCAGTACAGTTATAATAAGGCATCCCCAAACCCTAATCAAATTATTAAGGCCACTATATTACTCAGGCAGAAGAGGTCAGTGCAGACTTAGCTTTCCAGTGTCCAGTCACCTACACCAAAAGAAGAGGCGGCGCAAGGGCATGGATTGTCTGAAAAGCGTATGGCTTACCAACTCAAGCACCAATCATCAACAGCATCAACAAAAGCCCGCTTTAAAATTATCAAAGGAAAGCCATCGGAAAGGCCTCCGAACTTTAGGGGGGTGGAGCCTCCAATATTGCTGCGTCAACCACGCCACACCCTCAAAGAAGGACGAGGCAACACACATTCAATTTGCGCAAGCCCTAAACCCTAAACCCTAAAACCCTATAAACCTATGACCCTAAACCGTAAACCCTACAGCAAAGCAGCTCACAAGAACTGCACAGAAACTCTACAGTACAAGGATTCCCTGTGACTCCCTGAATCCATGAGGATTTCCGTTGGGTCACTAAAGCCAAGGAACATTCATTATCTAGGGCCTAAACCCTAAACCCTAAACCCTAACCTGGGGTTTAGGGTCATAGGGTTATAGGGTTATAGGGTTTAGGGTTTAGTGTTCTAGGGTGCAGGGGCAATCTTAGGCCTGCACGCTACCATATTCTCCCGAGGAGCTCTTGATGCTTGGCTGCCACTTGTGCATCGCTATCGCTTCCGTGCACCTCTGTGGCTGTACCAACCCTGCAACTAGCCTTTCATCCTAAACCCAAGCTCCATAATCCGTAACGGTAAGGATGCTTTAGTCGCTGAACGTTTAGGGTGATTTTCTATACTTACTCCATGTCTACCAGCCCCCGAACCGCGAACCTGCAATCTAAGCCCCCAATGCCAACCCAAAGTTCGAGACCGCTGCAATCTATCTGGGTCAGTTTATGCCGCGACGGGGCTCGTATAACGGTAGCTACTATGCGTGACTATAGGGTCCTGTGGATGTGGAGTCTTGCACTATAATCAGGCTGTACGTGCGAAAAATAAAACCAACTGCATGTCAGTTGGACCGTGCTCCCTAAGTAGGCCTTTGTATAGCGTTCAGTCTGAGCTCGAACTGCGGCTAATGCTACGTACCCTGAAATTCCATAAGTCTTGCGGCTGATGTTATAAATCCTGCATTACTCATAGTAAGGAAAATACCATAATTCTCGCAGCTTAGGGTCTTTAAAGTAATCCAAGATTAATCAAGATTAATATCATGCAGCATCAACAGTATGTAGAATCCTACATCACTCCTTGAAGCAGGCCCTGCGATCACCAACACTGACTGAGGCTATAGGGAACCGACCCAAGGAGGTCTAAGAGATCATGTTTTGGAGATCCCCAGCAAAGAGGGGTTAGGGTTTAGGGTTCAGGGTTTAGGGCTTAGGGTTTAGGGTTTAGGGTTTAGGGTTCAGGGTTTAGGGCTTAGGGTTTAGATCCCCAACAAAGAAGAGCGCAGGCCAACAAAAACCGAAAAGCACACCCGGAAAGCTTGAAGATTGTCTACTCGACTACGACGCAACCATTGCAAGCATTAAGATGTTGAAGCACCTTGAACCCAACTTAATGTCAGTTCGAGTATAGAAAGAACGTGCGGGTTTCAGATGATGGTTTCTCTCATGCTTCCCTTACGGGGCCTTTCACCAAAGAACACGAAGCAACACAACACACCGCTCCCTATTTGTTGAACACCCATCCTATGACCCCGACCCAGACTATAACTATAATACCAAATCCAGAAACTTAACCCCTAAATCCTAACTGGCGCTGAATGACCCTCAGCCCTAAACCTTTTTCCCTCAACCACTAACCCTAAACCCTAAATCCTAAACTAATCCCCATACTGCGCCTCAGGTTTCGTTTCTACACGGTGAATTCGGTAGACCCTCTTAGGCTCCTTAAAACCTTAGACTCTAGACCCTACAAACCCTGTGAAACCCCTATAAAGTCCGAAGTGAACACTGTAAAACTCAACCCTAAACCCCAAACCCTAAACCTTAAACCCTAAACCCTAAACCCTCAACCCCGTGAGCCCTCATAGAACCCTTATGTCGACGAACTCCGAGACTACCCAGAGCCTCCAATATCCCTTAATTAAGGAATATACCTTAAATCATACTACTATAATTTAAGGAATATTCCTTAATTAATTTAAGGATCCTACTATAGTTTAAGGAAGATTCCTTAATTAATTTAAGCATCCTACTATAATTTAAGGAATATTCCTTAATTAAGGGATATTGGAGTCTCTGGGTAACCCTGAAAAGGAACCCTTGAAGAAAGCCTCAAAGGAACCCTCCCAAACTTTAAAACCCCTAGAAAGCCAAAAACACCCTAAACCCGAAAGTCCGACACTTTGAAACCCTAAACCCTAACCCCAACAAACCAAAAACAACCAAAGCCCTAAACCCTAAACACCAAACACCAAAAACTCTGAACCCTTAACCCTGACCACTAAGACCCTAAAACCTTAAACCCTGAACCCCTAACCCCCATACCGTTCGCCGATGCCAAGCCACGCCCTCGAGCCAAGAGTCCCCATCGACATAGGCCTCGATGGCCCGGACGTGCATCACACCTTGTGTTTACAGGGGTTTAGGGGTTTAGGCATCTTGTAGGTAGATTTTGGGTAGTTGTCAAAATTATGGTCCCTTTCGGGGTACCCTAAATAATAGGTGCCGTATTATAATAAGGACCCAAAAAGGGACCATAGTTTTGACAACCACCCTTTAGAGGTTTAGGGTTGAGGGTTCTTTAGGGAGCTTTGGGGGGTTTTTGGAGATTTGGGATTTAGGGGTTTAAGGTTTTTGGTGCTTAAGGCTTTTAAGGTTTTTGGGAGTTAGGGCTTTTGGGGGTTGGGACGTTTGGACAGTCCGATTGTATTTGTTTTTCAACAAACAAGGCTGCTCTAGGGTTCTCGTGGTGCCTGGGGTCCAGCTTCCTTCCTTTGGAACCAAGCACACACCTTTGGCCTTAACAGTTTTGTTCAGGGTCCTGGGGTTCAGGGTTTATGTGTTAGGGTTTAGGCTTTATGGGTTAGGGTTTTTCGTTTTTGAATGCGCATCACCCCTGTGGAAAGCGAGTGGTCTAGGCTGTCGGGCTTGTCAGCAAGTACTACTACCACCGGGCAAGCATGTTTCTTTTTCATGCTTATAGGGTTTACTTTGGAAAACTACGCTGTTCTGTTAAGGGTTCAGGGTATTGGGCTATGTTAATTTGATTCGCTTCGCTCCACGTTCTGTTTGTCTTGGCTCAGACCCTTTCTAGCAAGGTTTCGGGGTTTCGCGGACTTGGGGTGTTTAAGCTTTTGCAGATCTGTATGACAAGGTTGTCGGCAAGCCAGTGTCTTGGGGTTCCAGGGTCTGAGGTGTAGGGCTTTGAAGGTCTAGTTTAGGGCTGTTGGACAAAATTCACGGGGCTCAGATCGAGGCATTTTCATATGAGATTAGAGCGCATCATGAACAAGCGGGTTGAGAAATGGCAGGCCTTCAAAACCTTCAAATTAACCACAGTTGAGGCCGGTCTGTCATTCAAGTGTGCGGGCCAGGGTAGGGCTTTGAGGTGCAGAGTTTCTAGGAGTCGGCCTGCAAGAACTGCAGGTGCGATAATTTTGCACATATTCATGATGTAAGTGTCAAGTCGCCTGTTGCAATACATAGGTACTAGTGACTTACACAGGGAGTCAAATTCAAAGTGAAATCTAGGTTTGTCTTGAGCTTGCTTTTGGTTTTGAGGTTAGGAAACGGAGGGTTAGGAGAGCAAGTGGTTAAGACCAGGGACTGCCAATGTACTTGGGTAGTTCTGTAAATTAGGGTCCCCTTTAGGGTTCTTTTTGTCAGGGCGCCGTACTACATTGAGGGCCCAACAAAGGGACATTTGGAGAACTACCCTTACAATACCCTTATAGAAACCCTGTAGGCACCCTTATAGAGTTCTAGATCCCGCTAAGGATCCCTAAGCCGGAGCCCTGAGTCAGAGAGCTACCCATACAGGATGTTGTCATCACTCTGCTTCTGTTGCCGGATACTGCAGATCATAGGAATCGCCGGGTCGTGAGCTTTTCAATGAAGAGAGTTTAGGGTTCAGGGTTTAGAGTTTAGGGTTTAAGGTTTAGGGGTCAGAGTTGAGGGGTTCGCTTCAGTGTTTAGGATTAGGGGTTTAGAGTTTACGGTTTAGGTAGGGTCTAGGGTTTAGGGCTTAAGGCATAGGGTTTACGGTTTAGAGTTGAGGGTTTAGGGTTGAGAGTTTAGGGTTTTTACTGTGCGATCGTCCAAAGTCGACATAGGCTGCATACGGCGTTAAACCCTGTTTCCGTACCCTTAAACGGAAGATTCAAGGACAGGCCCGTCCTCATACGCCCGGAACAGGGTATGAGGCTTGAGGTCAACTAGGAGACCCTGGGCTTGCTTGGCTTATGAGTTTAAGGCTTACGTAGGTCTTGGGACTTATGACGTCTGGGGGGTTTAGTTTCTAGGTGCCCCAGTGTCCCCTCAAATAATCAAGGTACTCGTTTTCCTCGTATTGCTGGTATTCAGTTCTAAAAAACAAGCAACTGGTGGCCCGACGCGATGAATTGGATCTCGGCTTTCGAGTTACCCGGAATTCCGCCAGCAGCAAAGAACTTCGCAAAGGAAGTGTTGTGTCTCGACCCAAGACGCCAGCGAGACCGCGGCAGTCACTGCTGCGTGGGGCTTGGCGTGTGTGGCCTGCAAGAGACTGCCCTTGCCGTTTGCCACCCGAGTCCGTGTGAAAGAGTTACTCTTGCAGCACCGTCAAGGCTCCTGGCCTAGTGCTTGCTTGTTCCACAATTGAGAACCAAGAGATTGATTTGGGGTTTCAGCGTTTAGGGGTTTTGGCTGCAGAAGGCTAACTACAGGTTTCTTCGCGTCCCTCTTGCAGGCAAGCAGCTGTGAGCGAACACCTCAAGGCCAGGGCAGGGTGTAGGGTTTAGGAGTTCAAGCCCTATTTTGGGGGGATTAGCGTAGGTTTAGAGCTCCGGTTTCAGGGTTAAGGGGCTATCCATGGCCTCCGGGAACACATGCGCCACTGCCGCGCACACAGGATGGTTAGCACAAGAACACAGAAATGGAGGACTGCATGAACGGCCAACCCGTGCCACTTAGACAGCCCTTACTGCCGCATGTTTTTGCTGTACCTTTCGGGGCACGTTACCGCATGTGCAACTTGGTGTACAGGTTACGCAATGCCAGCTCTTGTGCCGCAGCCTGAATCGACCCATCTTTCACCGAAGAACTGCCGTAATTCCTTGAACCTGGAAGTTGCGGAGTAACAGGGGGGCATTAAAGGGCTTTTACAGGACTCCTTCCCGGGATTTGATAAACTGTTTTTTGATCCTGAATCTGTGCGGTGTTTACTGCCCCAGCCTTTGCAAGATGCCTGGACTCTCTAGCTCCTGCTGGACTCTGATGCTATGTTTAGGGCTCCGATCGGCTCTTGTGTTAGATGCCAGGAAAACAGAGGGCGAGCGCGAGCGAGCGAGAGAGGATGTCGAGAGCGAGAGACAGAGAGTGGCAGAGAGAGAGAGAGAGAGACAAAGCGAGAGAGAGAGAGAGAGAGCGAACGAGCGCGTGAGAAAGAGAGAATGAATCCCTCAGAACCACAAGCATTCAACTAAAATTCAAAAGCCGCAAACCCTGAGAGAGTGGGAAAGGCAGCAGCCCAAACTGCACATCCTAAACCCATTTCTAGGTTCCTGGGCTCCTGGCTACGACTTGCTGCTTCCATCGCGACCTCCGCAGGAAGTCTTTCACCACGGATACCCTCGGCGCCGAAAGGCTGAGAGACATGCATGGTTTTGGGGGGTTGATAGGGTTTGAGCACGATGCCCCTGAGTTCTTAGTCTATGTGATTCCTCGCTTACAAAACAAAGGCATGCAGCTGTTGAGCTAAGGATATGGGAGATTCAAAAAATAAGGGACCCTGGTATAGGACCCTAAGTAGTAGAATCCTTATTATAAGGGCCCCAAAATAAAGTACCCTAGTTTTCTGAAATTCCCATATCTCGTTAATTCGGGGTCCCGGGCTCTCGGGGGAACTGCCCAGAGCTTGCGCAGTTTCAGGCCCCAAGTGTGGGGACGTTGGCGCAGGGCTGGACAGCGCGGCGACGGACAACAACGGTTTAGGGTTTAGGGTTTAGGGTTTAGGGTTTAGGGTTTAGGGTTTAGGGTTTAGGGTTTAGGGTTTAGGGTCATGAGCTTGGCTACAGGCCAACGCTGACAAGTATCCCAAATTCCT